ACGCCGATCTTTTTTCTCGAATCTGTAATGGTGTTTCTAATCTCGGAATCAATACTATTCTATTTTGCACCAAATGACTGCTTTTGATTGAGACAAACAATAGTTAAAAAGACAGAGAGAGGCCAGCTAATAAATCCGCCAGATTGATTCCAAGGGGGTGCTTTTTCGTAACATCGATGGAAACAGAAAAAAGGAGAAAGGTAATGAGCATATGATAGGAAGCATCAATCCTTTTATGTAATGGACATCTTTCAGCTGTAACATCATACATTTTCATTCACATCTACAATAAACATAATCACTAGCAGTTTTGGATCGAATTACAATCACGGATAAGTAGATTTACATACGCAAAATGATGCAGTGTCTTTTGTTTACCTACCTCCAGGAATTCTGTTCCACGACAAGTAGGTAGGATCTCCAAGTCGCCTGCAAAAACACCAACACCAAATCAAACATCTACACTTGCTATGTTATTATCTTAAACATGATACATTTAGAGATGATATATATATACCTTGGTTTCACAAGATACATGACAGTAAATGCAAGTGCCAAGAAGAAACAGATTCCTCCAACTGTGAGGTAAGCAATACCGAGGAAATCGTTCTTTCCACCAAGCCAACTAGTTGTTGACAAAACAAGCTTCTTTTTCCCACTGAAACTGTATGTGTTGTAGTTGTTCTGCAGAGTCACTTGTATGGTCTCACCAACCTCCAGGTCACTCTCTATCTTTCCGTATAGTTTTCTAAATGTTGGCAAAGCCGCAGTCCTCATCCACACGATCAGATCCTCTTGCTCACTCAGCTGAACACCAACAGAAGAAACAGAGAGAGACACCAAGTCAAGTGTTTTGCTAAAAGGAGGCGACTGAGCGCATGAGACTGTACCATGGTATTAAAGGCTTACCGATATATTTGGATTTAGTCTGGCACCACCAGTGAGATTACCCTTCTGAAAGTTCTTGGGAAATACATTTTTCCCAAACTTGTGATCCTTGTCACTATCCCAAGCAATTCCTTTCTTGTTTACAGCTAAATGCTGGCTGTTTCTTGATAAAGTGTATGTGTCGTTAAAGAGACTCCAAGCAATTAGGCCACAAGGCACAATTGGTTGCCCACCAACATCATCCTCAGGCTTGCATGCGCCTATTTGATTCTCATTGTTCACACTTCTCAATTGCGAATCACTTCGGCTTTTCACATACCTGTAATATCGAAAACACCAATGCCAGAACAATATAAGGAAACTAAATCACATCTAAGTTTAAATTTGAGCATTTCTTTCCCTGCACCCAACCAACTACTTTGTGACATCAATGTAACAATTCACTCTAAGTCTAGCAATGAAACCATAAAGGTAGAAGTTCTCGACAATACCTGCGGTGATTCTGGTAGAAGTTCTCGAGCTGGTAATAAACGTAGATAGGCTGCTTCATACGCTTAGTAATCTGACAATACCCAAATGGAAAATAGTAAGTAAACAAACACATACAGAGGCTAATCAAACCTCAAAGTACAAAACACTGATGTTGCATAGTAAAACTCACATTTAGCGTCCGGATACAAGATTTATCTCCAGCTCCTTGAATGTATGCAACTTTATTAGCCCTAGCAGACAGCGGTATGCACTCATTATCATACCGATCAACGATCTCAACAACCTATAAACCATAAGAGATGAACCATAATATGAGATATGAAAACCATTAAGTGTAGAATGAAGAGAAGCATTTTGATCATCCTCACTTACATCTTGAGAAGCGAAAAGAGAAACAACTCCAAGTGGAATGAAGATAACACTAACGATCAAAAATGTCAAAATCACCTACAAACAAAAAAACAAAGAGGCAAATTTGATTGCTTGAAACATGAGTAGAGAATTACAAGTATGCTTAGTAAAAGGGAATATAAAGAAGCTTACCCAACCAGGAGTAAGAATTGGCTTGCAAGCTGGAAGCTCCTGCTGTGTAAATTTTGAATCTGCAATCAAATCATATTGCTCAAACTTTGTATACAAAAATCAATTCTTTTGACGAGAAAGTAAAAAACCCTAATAACGATTTGTTGAAGAAACTAAACAGTGAGCAACAACAATGAACTGCAGATGGTATCAAAATACGATTCGACGAGAATCGAAAGGAAGATGAAGGAGAAGAAGATGTACACTTGGGTCGCTTGGAATTTCTCCGGGAAGAATCTGCGGATCCGGCGGCGGCGGCGCTGGAAGATGCCGTATTGGAAGCCATAGCTGAGAAATGGGAGATTTCTGCGTTGAGGATGGAAATGGCGAATCAAGAAAGAGAGAGAGAAGGAAATAGAGAAGATGAAGGAAGAATT